GCTGCTGTCTCTCCCGTAGCTACTGCAGTTTGACAGGCATATGTAAGATAGCCTAGTCGATAATGCTATCCGGCGATAATTCACTCTCCGTAATTGCCGTAATTATACTTCGCTTCTCCTGCAGAGGGCACTGAGTTACATTTTTAAGAGCAAATCCAAGATTCTACTGAGGCTGATTTTTATTTCGGTCTGATCGCACATAGTAGCATGGCGAGCATAGGCTCACTGGGGCACATAATGGTTTGAGGTGAATATGAGGTGATTATCTGCACACAGCAGGTGACACAGTCAGCCCTTTCATCCTGAGACTTTGGAAGCAGTACAGCAAACCTAAAATCATGTCGTTCCGCTTATCGGACATCATAAGTTTGGGCACTGCACTCATTGGCACAGAGCCAAAGTGACGATGAAACACGCCTGAGACCTTATCCGTTTTTACGCTGTATCTGCAGATCAAATCCATAAAAATTATCAACAGAAGCAGAGCTGAAACGTCATAGCAAAGAAAAGACTTTTCATTCTTTTTTCTCGTGTTTTTCACACACAGGTTGTCTCCGTGACTTTGAAAAGTTTCCAAACTTTGATTGATTAAAAATCGTTATTTCTGTTTTTGCGACGCATCACAGAGCCATGGATTATTGGTTCTCATACGTCTGGACTTATAAATCTCGTAATAGTGGAGTGCTTTGTCATTGATCTTGCAGGTCAGATTACCAAGGTCAATTCATGCACTTGACATGAATTTCCAAATAACGTATGACTCCTCCTAGACCAGATTTCCAGACTTGAATTTCTTAATCAACTTTAGATTCAAATTAGCTGAATAAAACGCTGCTGCACGACTTTGCCTTTCTGCTTAATTGATCCCTCGTCATCACGAACAAATTTAAATGCTATCATTTAAGTGATTCTAGACATATCAAAATAGATTGTAGTCTTTACCAGAACTGCTTACGTTTCAGTCAAGCTATACTGGTCATCCTCGGGGTAAACTGTTATTTACCCTGAGGATGGTCCATATAATTTGACTGAAACATCGGCAGTTCTAGTAAAGGCTACCATCCGTCTGTTTCTTTGTGTCTAGAACTAATAGCATGTCATTTTATTGAAGAAAAAGATACAGAAGTGATATAAGTTTAGGAATCATTTAAATGTGATGCTATCTTTCACGAAGTTTGTAAATTTGAATTTTTATCAGCGAAGGTTCCATCAGCCAAGGCAGATATTTTCTCGAATCCCCTGAAATACATGTGACTAAGTAGAATTGAGTTGCACATGTTTGCCTTCAGCAGATTACATCGGCAGTCGTAAAAGCGTTCCGAAGGGCTGTAAATCTCAGAAAGTTCTGCATCCAGTTTCGGATGCTCATATTCATCTCGGACATTTTTGCTCGAGTTTATAAGCGTTCGATACTTTTTTTCGATTGTTGCTACTTGCCATCGTCATCTGGGATACGATAAGCCTAACAGCTGCGCGTACCGTAGATGAAGATATTTGACAGACAGAAGTTGATTCCTCAAAATACTTTAGGCATTAACTGCTTTGATGAAAGACACTTTCTTAACTGACTGCTTTGCTTTCACGTTGGTAGTCATATCGGAAATACGCCAATCTTTTAAAATACTTACTCTTTGTCACCGTCTATGATATTTTTTTATAATGATGCAGCAATGTTTCAGCCGAACGCAGAGACTGATTCGTTATTTGAAGAAATTGATGAGGATGAATATTCGGAACGCATACGTCACATACAAGAAGAAAATTTTGTCGTCGGCGATGGTACCATTGTTTTTCCAGATTTTTTATTGCAACTGAAACCCAGAAATAAAACGTTCATTGTTGGATGTTTATTTATTCATTAATGCACGTTGCGGTGTTTAAATATGGTTTTGACGGATGTGCTTAAAAGGGAATTTTTCACTGATTTGAGCTGGTTCTCTGAACTGATATTTCAATGGTTTTGGGCGCAACGAGTCAAACGGGGGGGTAGACTTTACCAAACGGGCAGATTGTTTGCCCTGATGATAGCCAACTGCGTCAGGCTGAATGTCGACAGCTTTGTTATAGACTATCGTCCGTCCAATTCATTGTGTCCAGAACCGTTGCGGTACCAGTTTATCGAAGAAGAAAATACTGAGGTGAAATGAGTTTGTTTATACGATGCTAATTATTGAATTGATTCTGTTATGATATGAACGAAACTGCTCGTCGTTAAATTTGAATAATCGGCCAAAAGCTGTTCCTTTATTCACTGTCTCGTGGTGAAACATTCTTGCTGTAACAATTGCTGGCGAAAGCCGCAGTAATCAGAAAAGTAGTTGCACAATGTTCTTAGTGTATGTAACGTTGTACGAGTTTATGTTTGTTTTGCTGCCATTGTAATGAATATCTTAGAATATGAGCAACTTAACTTTCATAGTTGACTGATGCCTGAATGAAATAAGACGGGAACTCAGCTGCATAATAGTGGCTAGCATCAATTTCCTTTCGAAATTGGCTCACCGCTGACTCTACGCTTCGCTCGTGCGGTCGACGATATGCACCCATTTTGGTAGATTGATCAGCATCCCATTCAGTTTTTCGATCAGTCCCTCCGTTCCGTCTCACTCGGCCAGTATCTCTTACGTCTCATTCTTTTTTTTCGCTCCCCTCTCACTGTCTTCCCTTTCAGTCCCATTCAGTTATAAAATTGGTACGTTTCCGCTTTGTTCACGAAACTTTTTCAGTAACTGATAATGTTTTGATACTCGAAGCAGGCGATGCTGAAAGTCATAGAATGTGGTCAGTATGATTACAAGATTTATTGTTTACTTGTTTTTGGAGCTTCGATTCTTGAAAACAGCACA